ATTGATCAATTTCTCTGTGTGACCCAACCTTCTGATATTTGAAAATGGAAAACTAATCACTGACATACCCAAAAGAGATTTACAAAAAGCCTTGAAAAAGAAAGAGCCACAATAGTTGCAATCTCAGTGAACTTGTTAAAAGCTGTTATTTCTTAATATTTCTTATACCCTCATTGTGCCACTGTTACTGCAAACCAAAATTACTTTATTTTAGGCTTTTCACAGATATATAAAAATGTGTACACTGCTGAGAAAGAGGTTAAGTAAACCAATTTCCTTTATATTTGCATGTTTGGTCAAAAAAAATTCTCGATGTTTTACAGTAGCCTGGAACTATCCATCAACTCCCATTTAAGCATCTGAAGGGATGTAGGGCCCTTTGATTTCTGCAAGCCAAATAAAATGTGGACAGAATCACAGAACTTAGCAAATAAAATTAAATCTATTACAAAAGGCCAAATCTCACAAGATTTGGCCTTTTGAGGGAGATGCAGCGGTCTCTGAGGTATTTTGTCCAACACCAATTTCTTTATCTGCTGTTAGATGATTACAAAGGTTGGGCTCAGGTCAACTGTGAAACAGAAACATTTAAATCCTTCCAAAAATGAAGGGCATAACTAGACTTTTCGGGGAGCAACTTTTCACCAAGTTTTGTCAGTAAATGATCATCTGAACTCCTAGGAATACATGTAATGAAGCTAACTAGCATGAGAGAGATGCTTGCAAACCCTTCAGCGTACAACTACATCAGCACAAGCAAGGCGTGAGTTTATTTTGGACGTTAATTGTCTTTTTGTGCTTTAGAAAATACAGGAAAAACATTAATTTAAATACCAAAACGAAAGAAATTGATAGATTTTACTTTTCTTTTTGATACATTTTTATGTTCAACGTTCAAAACACTTTTACAAAAAGGCTCCTTTTTAGTGTGAGATTATATATTTTACACACAATTATATATTTGTTTTTAATAAAAAGGACAGGAAAATATGTTTAAATACCTTGCAAAAGCATGTAATGTTCTGCTGAACAACAGCAATTTGCTTTATTACGGAAAGTGAAACGATTTTGAATTTTGTGGCTATTCATTTGTTTAATCTGTTTTATCCACTTATGTAGATGAATAGAAAATGGTTTAAATAAATCAGTTGGAATTGAGAAGAAAAATGAATATGGGAAAAAATTAAATAGATTTAATAGGATTCTGGATATTGATGCAAAGAAAAAACAGCCTAATAAAGCAAAGCCATTATATGCACAGGTTGAACACTGGACACTTGCTGTATGTGAACAATACCTTGTTTCATTCTGTCGGAAAGCAGATGTTTATCAATTCTACCTTCAATCTTTTCTTAATTAGAGCGGAGCAACAGTACCAAGCAATAACACACCCAATCCTTTTCCAGCCTGACAACTCTCCACATGAAGAACTGCTGCCCAGTAATCTGCCATTTGCAGTAAGAGCTGTGTGCACAGACAAACCTGCAGACAAAAAGCTGCAGACAAAAAAGACATTACTACCTTGTCATGACCTTCCAACAGTTTTCAACCATTGCACAATTTTCTTCTGTCGGTGGTCTACATATAGGCAGGAATTCCTTGCAGTGCACTTTATATTTTTTTCATATCTTCTAAGATTGCTGTATTTATTTGAATAGACTTGCTGTGAGAGTTGTCGTGAGGACAGAAAAGTCAGAAAGCATTAAGGAACACATTTATTTCAAGTCGGTTTTCACTTTGTCCTTGATGCATTTAGACAAGAGCAAAACACACCAAAACAACATCATTGATCTCCGCAATTATATCATACCACTCTGGTCTGCTGCTTCCTGCCAAACTAAAGATGAAACTGTGCTACATATGGAGAGCAATGGAAAATACTTAATACTTAATAAAGCACCCCTCTTCAGCTTCCCTCTGCTTTTGCTTCTTTTATCACATTTCAGACAAAGCAAAGAGTAAAACCCGATATAAAGCAATTATTAAATGACAATTTCATTGATTAATCTGCTAGATGGTTGTTTCACCCTCAACAAAAATTGCCATTAAGCTTTTGTGATAAATGCCAACATATCTGCCAAATCTGAATCCATTCTTTATTCATTTTGAGTCATCAGAGGTCATTACTTTCACATTTTTTTGGTAAACAGCAAAATTAGTTAGTCCACCAACCACTAAAAAGCAAATGCACTAAAATTAATCTCAATTAATAATAGTTAACTTAATTAGATTGACCCAACTTAATTAATTCACCATGGTTTAACAGTGGACTAGATAAATAACTCAGTTTACATTTTATTTCACAAGGAAAGATCCTTTTACATAAGATCCCGTTGGTTTAGTAGGTTCATTTCCATTTGGTTGATAATCTAAAAAACAAACAAACAGCAAAATCAGAATTTATTTTGAGCATGCCACGAGACAAAAACTGGATCGTAAAAGGTGCTACAATCAGCATGCAGCCATCCTGCATATCAATCTGCACATATTTATTTTGCATGCAGACACAGAGACCCAATTCCTGTTCATATGGATGTAAATAGCATCTTCACTGGTTGTAACGATGGCGCCTGGAGCACGTGATTAACATGTTAAAGCCAAAGGCTTATACTTTATGCCCCCCCCTCATGAGTAGTCTGGCAGCGCCGTCACTGCAGCTTAGCTCGCTCCCCCCACCTCTCTACTTAACTCAAATCGATGGGCCCTCCTCTAGCCGAGCCATTTATCAGAGCAATCCGACAGAACTACTGAAACAGCCACTGAGGACCTGGCCTCACGACCTTGTTACAGCAAACTCACAGTAGCCTAACGTACTGAGCTAGCTGAAGTGGCCTTGTTCATGGATGGAGGGATGAGGGAAACACTACTGATGAAGAAGTGGAAGGCAAACAATAAAGCTCCCGCTGTTTTAGTCAACCTCAAAGAGAATCCCACTCTCTGTACCTCTCTGTTTCTTCCAGTTCAAAGCCAATCCTATTTTAGTTCAATCTTTCAGTGTGCAGAGGATGCCTCTTCCAATCAGATCACTTATGTTGTTCACCGCGCCGACATGGTGTGAATTACCCTGTCCGTGACACCTGAATCAGGGCGCCACTGAGCCCTGGGGCTACATGGGATAGCTGTAACTACTTCTGGATCCCTGAGATGAGACACGAAAGCTCTCAGCAGACCTGAATGAGTGACGCTTTTTCCTGCATGTTGTCGGATGTTATTTAGCTCCAACCCTAACAAGGTGCACAATGTTCAGTGCCTGTCAGACCTACAGAAAGAGTCAGTTTATTACCTTACTGTTTTTTTTTTCCTGCACATTTTATGTCATCTTAATCTAAAGTCTCCCATGGGGCAGACATTTTTTTACATTCACAGTCCAGCTGTTTAACAGTTAAAGACTTGCTCACGGGGGAAAAGGGAAAGCCTTCACATCTTTCCAAATAATAAACATCCATAGACATCTATAAATAAATCCACAAGTTTCTACTTGTGGAGAGGATTCCTGCCCTCAGTGACTTTATCCCTCATTCTGAGGGAACCCAAAGCCACAATGCTCCAAAAACAGAGTATTTTATCAAATGTCTGAAATGTTAATTTGGCCACTTAAGTAGAAGAATGATTTGTTAATCATTTTGTGTTAGTGTCAGCTGTTGATATCAACAACAGGTGTTTTAAAGAAGCCCCAGAGGGTCCTCACTTACACTGGAAATAGTAAATCACACTTCAAAATGTTTAGGTACATTGTGTTCACTGATTAGAAACACACCACAACATTTTGATTTTAATCATCTGATTCAGGTCATTTCCCTGGTATATTTTAAACCTGACCAATTAAATATTTATTATAATGTACTATAATGTACTGTTAAAACGAGGAAGTTATGTCCCCTAAAAAAGCCGTTGCGCCTCGGGGGCTTTCTCACGGTCCTTTTCCTGGGAGCAAGTTATTTACTACTCTTAACTCAAACTGGGTAAAACCATATAAAAAGGACTATAAAACAGGAGTAAAAAATAACAGAGTTTAATCCAGATCAGGTCGTTACAGGAAAGAGAAAATGCTTGGAGCTTGCACAGCTGTGGGCTCAAAAATCACGTCCGCGAGCGTCCGGCAAAGATTGAGCCCCGAACAAGGTCATCACCTGCTTCTTATACCTCATGAGTCTATGTGTTGCATCATGCTGATGTTTAGCTGTCCGTATCAGAAACTGACACGCCATCCATGTCTTGAACTTCATGCAGCTTGCTTCTATGCTTCAGGGTTAAAGATAGCTCTCCTCTATCAGACCGGCTCCAAGATGTGCCCATATCCTGTGTATTTTTAAAGACACAAAGGCTGTCCTGATTAGATGACCTCCGTACACACTGTGACATCCACAATGTGAAGGAAGGCCTTCTACTCTGTCTAATCTGGCTAACAGAATAACAATGCACATGATGTATAAATAATAAACCTAACAGTACTAATGTACTACAATTAAAATCTACTTTCTTGCCTGCTCACCTCAGCAGCTCCAAAATAACCACACCTCCGTCCATTTCATTAGAAAAATGTAAATGTCATAATTTTATTTGTATTAACTTACAGGCATTTGGACTGCTAGGAATGTTCTGTTGTTTCTAACTTCAAACAGAAAAGGAAAAGTCCAGGTCTATCCAGTCGTGTTGGGTTGCAGGTGAGTGATCATCACCCGCATTAAAACTGCACAAGGAACTGTCATGCTTTATCATGTGTAAACTTCTGAACCCTCCTGACTATTTCTGACCCCTCCTGATTTTTCTTTTAAGTCAAACGAAAAAAGAAAACAGACATCCTGGCAGAGTTGACCACAGACATACAGGGAGTGTCATTCTCCTCTTTTGCAGTAAAGTAACTTGGTTGTTGGTTTATTTCTAGGACAATAACAGGTTATCATCATTAACCGGAACACATTTATCCAACCAATGTTTCATCATCAGTAAAACACTGTCAGGGAGATTCAATGATTCTGTTAGAACAAAATGAAGCATACCTTTGATCCTCCTGGACTCCTTTCGCTGGCTGGTTTTGACACCCGACTGGACCTCGGCCTCTGCTGACATCCTCCACCGCTGAGTCCCTTCTCCTGCTCACAGCAGATCCACCATGAGTTAGCAGCCCACTAGCGATTCCTCCGAGCTCCCAGTGTTCGATTCTCCCTTTCAGCTCCTGTGTTTCTCACAGCAGCTCCTTGATACTGAAAACCTCAGTCAAATCCATGGTGACATGTCTGCTACTCCTCAATAAATGAAGATCCAGCATCAATAAATACGTTCTGTCACTACTGGTCCATGGTGTTTGAGTAATACAAGGCAAAACATGAAGCGCTGATTGAATTAAGAGCTAAGCGATCCCCTGGAGGGCCGGTTCAGATCTGATTTGACATCCTCTGGAGTGTACCTGAGCTTCCTCAGTGAAGGTCAAGTATCACATGGTCTGTAGTGTTGCCTTTTATGAAGGTTCACCTATTGCTCAGGAGCAATCCCCCTGGGGGAGACTTGCAACATTGATTGAATCAAATATTGTTCTTCAGAGTAGGTCAGAAGGGGATATTATTCTTCGGTGGGGCACTTCAGTTCCAGATTGGTGCATCTGTAGCTCTCAGCACTGAAATACAAGGAGACAGAGATAAGAAATGTTAAGCCGGGGGTCGTTAAAAATGAAAATGACACATGCCTCTTGTTCCCCAATTACAGTATTAATATATGAAATGGAGGGCAGCAATTTAACAAATCAACAAAGATGTTATTATCGCTTCTGGATCATCAATCCTTAATGAGGATGGAGTTAATGCTCGCTGCTCAGCGGCCACCCACGAAGAAGACCTCTGGTGAAATATCTAACACTCTGACTTTATGTACTCCTCAAGAGTAAATACAGAACAGTAAACCATGACCGGCGCTTCTGTGCAGGCAAAGAAAATATTCTGAGGATGGACCGTTAATGGTTCCAACAGCAGGAGAGGAGGGGAAGCAGCAGAGAGAGCAACGAATCACGGGCTGTTTGAAAGCAAACTGTGGCGGGACTCCTGGCACAGTGGTCTATGAAGTGGAAAGCCCCACATTGTTTGTTAACGCCCTTGAATCGTTTGCAGCTAACACTGAGGGATGGGGGGGTGGCATGCCAAGCTGGCACCATGGCTGCTGCAGCTTCTGTTGGCAAAGTGAGGAGCTATTGTTGGGGAAAAAGGACTGAAAAGAAAGCACATTGTCCTGTCTGACATTGTGTGACACTGTTAGTGTGTTAAAAGAGACAACACAAGCTGGCACGTCATCTTAAAAAGGATTCTTATGATTACAAGTTTATCAAAAGTCTCTAGTTAGTTTCTGTAAGTATTTGTTTGGGTTATGAAACCAGCCAGTGCAGAAACTAGCAACTGATGAAACGAAAAAACAGAGAGCACCATTTTAGGTATTTTATTCAACCAATAGCAAAACTGTTATAAGTCCACTCTTCCAATATCAATCTGGTCCTAAAGTGTGGATGCTATCAATTGTATCAAATTATTTCTGATGTTTTATGGGGCATATTTTCTGTAAAACATGTGAAAAAAAGTTTTACTCAAAAAATATGTCAAAAAGCTCATGTTACCCAGTAATAGAAGTGGACAAAGTACCCAAAAATTGTAGGAACTACTTAAATGTTTTTTTTTTTTACTTAAAGTAAGAAGTAATCATCCAAAAAATGACTTAACTGAAAAAAAATGAGTATTTTCTAAAAAGGTTACTGAAGTACTAAGTGTCAGATCTTAACATTTGATTTAATTTTTTTCAAATGATAGAGACTATAAGATCAAGTTCTGGTGTTTTAAAGGTTAAAATTCATAAAAATACCAATAAATTGTAAAAGAAGAAATGTACACAGAAAAAACACAAATTTGAAATATAGTTTTTTGACTAATAAAACCAATCTTTACAGTGAGAACTGTATAACTGTACAGATCACAATCTCTTCACTTCTAGAAGCGGGCTTTCCTCTGTAGAGAGGAGTGAAGACACATTTCTATTGGTCTACATGGAACATTTTTTGGTGCTTAAAGTGAAGAGAATGTGATCTGTAAAACAACATTTTAAGATAATTAAATTCTTAAACTCAGTAAAAGAATTAAAATATAAAATCTTAAAAAAAAAAGTTTGATAAATAAAACATTAGGCCATTTTTTAAATTTTAAATAAAATATATACAAGAAAGTAGTTACGATACTCTGAAAAACATTTTTTTGATTAAGTTTGTCAAATTTCATTTCTAGATAAAATTTATTTTTACTTTTTTAATTTCCATTAGAAAAAATGCTTGTTGTTTGCAGCAATATTGGAACAAGATTCGATCACAATCTGCTGGACAGTTTCCAGCCCAAACACAACCAAAAACTGTAACAAAAAAGTCCAAATCTCAACCCATCTTGAACCTTCTCTTAAATCCTTGAAGTACTGTAATAGAACACCTGATAAAGAACAAGGCACCCTTCTTCTTTTAAATCACAAAGATACACTTGTTTTTTTTTTCATAAGAACGTTTATAATAAACGTTGATTAACTGGGACAGTGGCAACCCATGATTTTAGCTGTGGATCAACCTTCCAATGCTTTCTGTACATGTTGATGTTAACTTTTCTCACATCGACATGATGCTGTCCCTAATAGCAAGTTAAAATCTAACAGCGAAGGCCATCAGGAGTCAGTGTAGCTTAGATGAAGTCTCAACCTCCAGTGGAACTTGTGACTCACGATCATGACTATCACTAATAGACAATGTCATGTTTGACATTGTCCATTGTCCATCATGTTTGACATAATAATCCATTGAACATCGGTTCTTCTAGCCAAATAATGGTAATTGTGTTGATATTTTTTCCAATTATTGCTTTCTTAAAACCATCCAAATTCTTTGAAAAGCAGCCCAAAGATATTTTTTCCAGCCCAACTTGGTGAAAAAAAGCCCCATTGGGGGGAGCCCAGCCCAATCTGGCATCACTGTTTATATCAGTTTGGCCAAGCAGAAGGAATATCGAGGACTGCAGAGTCAAAGTGTCAAAAACTGCTTAGATGAAAAGTTTAGGAGCTTGAACTAAAAGTTTTAATGTATTAAAGGTATAGAGGAAGATCTTTTATTTCCGGGTGGATGATCTATGTAAGTGGTAATCATATTGTCAATTATTCTGGTGATATATTAACATAAGGTGGTCCTACGTGCTCCTACCGTTAGCTATCTTTTTCTGTGCATGCACAATTTCAGGTGTATATGTGTAGTCAGCAACGGTTTCAGACAGTCATTAAAGCTCACCTTTCTCACAGCGGTTCTTTGAAAATGGCCGAGGGTAATAAGAGAAAAAGAGACTATGAAATATATGGGAAAAAAAAGGCCTCAGAAGAGGCAGATATATCCCAGAATGCTTTGCGCAGAGAGCTCTTCTCGCAAAGCATTATGGGATTTGCTGTCACAGCGGCCTGCTGTCGCCATAGGCTGTCATTACACATCAGTGGTGACTAATAAAAAAGATGGCACAGGAACTGTGCGGAGGAGGAGGAGTTACATGACCAACGGAGCAAAAAGCAGTGATTATTTGTCCAAAGTTAACTTAGTTTTTCTATAAAGTCCACAATTTATTCCCCACTGTATGTGGACACAGTGAGCTTGTATGAGCTATGAGAACAGCACATTTTTAACAGGGTGTGCATGAGGAAAAATGGGCTTGTGCACGCCCTTGCACGTGCATTTCTTTTTAAGTGAAGAGCAGGTCTTTTAAAAAAATCCTCCCCAATACCTTTAAAGTGTGTACATTCAGCTAACTATATGGTATGGACTTTACAAAAATGAAACGGGAGATGATTTTAGCAGTGGGATCCAAATTGGCAGTAAAGAAAAAGAGAGACAAGTCACAAACTTGTCTGGTTTGGTACACGTAGAGTAGTGGATATTTTTGACTAAATGGAAGAAGAGTTCTTTGACGATGTGAAGAAGGATAGGAAGTAGTGATTGTGGGACATATAAAGTGAGCTTCTTAACAGAGAAGGAATAAAGGAAACTCTGTTGCTTAGATATATTTCCTCGATCAACAGCTGGTTGTTACCATAAGACTGGATTCGTCAGACTTGTGTCAGAGTTTGTGTTTGCTCACGAGTCTGAGAGTCTGATAATGTCACCCAGGACCAGCGGCGAAGGAGAAATCTACCCGTGAGTATGTCTCAAACAGGGCAGTGGCGTGTCAGCAGTCGAAGAGGTATTCTTCATGTCGCAAAGAACCTTATCAGAATGCCATTTTCATTACCAATGAGAGAGATATACCTCATTGTATTAGAACATGGAGTGATTTAATGTGATGTATGGCTTCTTTTTAGAGCCAATGCTATCTAGGTCACCCAGACTCCCCAGTCTGCTCCGTGTTTTAACAGCTCCCACTGTCTCTCAGGATTTGGGTCAGAGTTAACGAGCATCACTCATTTTTCCAGCTTACTCTCAACTGTTAAGGGATGTCAAAAGCCCCAGCACCACCCCCTGACAAAAGCCGCCATTTATTTATTAATTTGCTCACTTTGGCACCTCGTCTGTGAAGCACAGAGGAAGCCCTCCTTGAGCAAAGTCGGTTTCGTTTCGACTCGCTATCCTCATTTCCTGCCGTCAGCCTGTTTTTCTTTTCATCTCTGTCTGCCTGAATGTCTGAGGTGATATTTGGAGTTGTTTGCCTTCTCCTTCACTTAGAGTTTCCTTCCTGCACACAGTTTACAGAACAAAAAACTGGCATTTTGCATCTTTAACCTGACGTACGGTGGCTCCATGTCTACCAGCACATCAATCAGTCTGAGCCAAGAGGAACTTTTAACAGTCTGCATTATTCGGTTAGGGGGCACTGGTGCATTAGGACAAGTTGCGTGCCATGATTATGTAATTAATGTATGCACCATTCAATCAGGAATTTTCTTGATGTGATGAGTTTGTTTGCAATTAAATAAAAACCAGGATTTCTATCTTTGATTTCTGTTGCTGAGAAACAAAAGCTTATAATTGATGACAATTATCTCTCTGTGGATCTCTCTGTGGATAGAGATACCTCATTAAGTGTGATCAGTTTTTCAATCATGTTTACTGCCTTGGTGATATAATGGGCAATCACTGAGCAGAAGTTGATTTTTTTCCCCTTTTCTTTCAAGAACGACCATTCTGGAGCTTCTTCTTTCAAGCTGTGGCATCGCAACACAGTGACATCTCCTCCTGGGGATGATTTTTAATAGACCTCACAATCAGCCTCATATTGTGAAACAAGCAAGCCTCGGTGCATCCTGCCACTGATGAGGAACAAAAGGTTGAACAGCCATCTATCACTGGATATGGCCAATTAAACCTCCATTCGCCTCGGCCCCAGCGGAAGGTGCAGCCTGTGAATCACATGATGTGTGTGGAGGAAAAAAAAAAGGAAGCCTTCACTCTCCCAAGGATTCCTTTCCTGTCCACACTAAGGCTGGCATGGCCTGGGGCTGCAGGAGCGTTTGCTCGACAGACCGGCTCTGGCACTTCATGCTGGTCATCTTTGTTACAAAATGCCTCCCAGCTTATGGACTGGGACAATTCTGTCACAACCTGGCCTGGCAGAGCCCATCTCCGGGCAAGCC